CCTGCCCCTTCCCTTTCTCCAGTTCCCTTTCTCCTAACCTGCAGGTCCTCCCCAATAGTGGACAGAAGATCTGGAAGAACAAATGATGTAGTTTTGTCTGTCTGTCTGTCTGTCTTTCTCTCTCCCTATCACCTATCACCTCTCTCTCTCTCTCTATCTATCCATCTACATCTCTCCATACATATATAAATATATGTATATACTTTTGTCTTAAAATTGGGAATCCTTACAATACCTATCTTATAGAGGCTGAACTATATACAACACTTAGTAAGGAAGCCAGAATTTCATAAGCTCTAAATAAATTACAGCATTGTATTTCTCTTTGCATCTGCTGTGGATGGATGCATTGTATGTTGTTTTTTTTTTGGCTAGTCCTAGAGCTTGAAGTCAGAGCTTGGGCACTGTCCCTTGGGCACTTCTTTTGCTCAAGGCTAATGCTCTACCATTTCTGTATACATCTTACGGAGGTATTGAACCCAGGGCTTTATGCATGCTAGGCAAACTCTCTACCACTAAGCCACATTCCCAGCCCCTGTTAATTTTTTTTCTAAAGTTTATTTTCGATTTTTTGGTGTTTGATTGGTTTTAATCTTCTATCCGTGCTGATTTGTTCCTTTAACAAAAGAAGATTTTTCCATTGTGAATTTGAGTCTGGCACTTCCGGGAGGCTGGCATCATTTTATCCCTGTCTGAGTTTCATTTCTTCCAATTGCATGCCTGTTCCTGGATTTATAGAATAGAATGACTTGTCCATGAGTTGGAGAAGTGCACCTTTCCAAACCAGTGATGAGAATCACCATCCTGGCAGGGTAGTCTTGGTATAAAGAAGCAAAACCAGCTTATATGGTGCCTTTGCCTTTTACTTACAGTATGACCTTAGATAGTCCTCTGCTTTCTCTCAGCTTCAGTACCATCATCTGTAAGATGGGCTCAGCACACCTGTGTTATTTGGCAGATAGGGGGAGAGGATGAAATGTGAATGAATAAAAAAATCCAAAGACTTGGATTGGCACACAGCAGGCACTCAAGAATTCTTGTAAAGAAATAAAAATGTCTAAGGTGTAATGAGGATCTTGACCTCCTAACTATCAAGGAGCTAAAACTGGAGCAGATAAGACAATCTAAGTTCAAAAGCATTCAGAGTCCTCCTGGGCTACAAAGTATCCTCTTTATTCTAACTTTCACGCTCTTATTTAAAGTATTCTTAAAGCATCTTTCTAGTGTAAATGGAGACCACAGATGTCTAATCTATTCTTTCAGATTCTTCCAGTGTAAGAAGGGAGATGAAAAAAATTCATATTAAAACATACCTTTTGAGTAGAGCAATGTGAAAAACACACATTGAAACATCCAAATGCCAAGAATAAAAGAGCCTTGATTTCTGGGAATCCTTTGGCTGAGTGCTGTTACCTTTTCCATCTTTCCATGTGTGATGTGTGGCACCCACCTTTCTCTGTGTATTTCTGAAAAAACATATTGCTCTCTCATGGGTTGGGGTCCAAGCAACAACCTTGACTCTTCCTTTGGAGAAGATGGTCAACAGAACGTTCCCCTTATTAACTGAGCACTATCTTGCCATGTACCTCAGGCTTTGCTTAAAGATTAGAAAACCATTGCAGGATAGTATGGTGGCACATGCCTGTAATCCCAGTATTCCGGAGGTGGAAGCAGGGTAATCACAAGGCCAGGCTGTGCTACGTAAGAAACTCTGTCTCAAAAACCAAACAAAAACCATCCAATCAAAGAAAAAGAACAAGGAAAGAAGGAAGGCAGGCAGAATAGTAAGGGAAGGGAAACAAAAGGGAGGGGAGTGAGAAAAGGAAAAGGAAAGGGAAAAGGAAATGTAAAGGAAGCTATTAGCACTACTTAAGGAAGAGTGTTCACTAATGTGGGCAATTATTGTTGAAAAGATCTGTTTCTTATCAATTTAACCTATTGCCTTCATTTTGTGTCTGAGCAAACTATGTCTCAGGAAGGGACGTTAGGACTAAAGGGTGGTTACAGGTTACTTCATTAATCTGTATTGGTTGAATTTCTTTATTTCTATTGTGACTTCCCGACTTTAGTCCCACTATTTTATGCAAGTACTACTCATGAAGAAATAGCAAAGTCACACCATCACATCACCGATAACAGTCTTCTAACAGAAATCATTTGTAAAGACCCGAGAAACAAGTCTTAGTAGTGTATGTGTGTATGTGTGTGTGTGTGTGTATTTGTGTGTGTGTTTCTTTTTGTGCTGGTACTGTGGCTTGAACTCAGGACCTGAGTACTGTGTCCCTTAGATTTATTTCTCAAGGCTAGCACTCTACCACTTGAGCCACAGCTCCACTGCTGGTTTTTTGGTTGTTGATTGGAGATAAATATCACAAAGTTTCCTACCTGTGCTGACTTTGAGCTTTGTTCATCACATCTCAGTCTCCTGAGTAGCTAGGATTATAGGAGTGAGCCACTGGTGCCCAGCTCAAGGACTGTATTTAAAATTTTTTTTATTGTTATTGTAAAGGAATCACAATTACAGATAAAGAGTACATTTCTCTTTCTTTGGACAATGCCACTCCTTCCCTTGTTCTCTTCCAAATTTTTCCTTCCCAAACCTACCCGTAATTGTTATTATAGAGGTGATAAACAGAGAGGTTGCAGTTACGTGAATCAGGTTGTGAGTACAGTTCTTTTTTCTTTTTCTTTCTTTCTTTTTTTGTTTTAGTTGGTCATGGGGCTTCAACTCTGGGCCTGAGTGCTGTCCCTCAGCTCTTCAGCTCAAGGCTAGTGTTCTACCTCTTGAGCCACAACGCCACTTCCAGTTTTCTGAGTGGTTTATTGGAGCTAAGAGTCTCACGGACTTTCCTGCCCTGGCTGGCTTTGAACCATGATCCTCAGATCTCAGTCTCCTGAGTAGCTAGGATTACAGGTGTGAGCCACCGGTGTCCGGCTAGTACAATTCTTTTTGAACCATGTCTCCCGGTCCCTCATTCTCTCCCAATTTTTCCCTCCCATCCCCACTCATAAGCTGTACCGTTCACTTTCTACATAGTGTCTAGTAAGTACCACTGTTGCGTTTCTTCACCCTTTGTCCCATCTACTCTGTGTCCCCCTTTTGTCATTCCAAATACAAACAAACAAATAAGACAAAAGGAAAAGAAAACAAAAATAACAACAACAGCATCTCTTGGTTGCTTTTCTTGGAGTTCTTTTCATAGAACATTATTTTATATGATCATCCGCACGTAGCTCCGGAGCCTTTGTCAACCATTCTCCACACTCACACGCTGAGGCCGAAGGAGGATTTGCAAAGCACTGTATGTTTATTCCTCATTGGTATCAAGAGGAGATGAGGGACTTTGGAATCAGGTCAGCACTTGAACACTGAGTGAACATTTAGTGTCTGGAAGCCCTGTTTCTCAACCTTAAAACGAATATAATCACATCAAAGCTACCTCACAGTTTTGTTGGATAGACTGTACTAATAAAGTCTTTGGTAAAATGACTGGCATGACAGAAGTGTTGAAGCAATGGGCTGATTTTTGTTTTATCAGAAGTTAGCTCTTTTTTTACGTGTCAAGTAGGTGTCTGAGCTGTACCAAGCGTTGAATGATCTCTGAGACTGTCCTCTTGCCAGGGTAAAAGCATCTCCATCTTTATTTTGTACTGCAGGATATAGTGGCTTATAGCAAAGTTTATCCTTGAGAATTGATGTATTTGTTTTCCAATCTTGCTCAAGTTCTCACACATCTGAAGTTCAATACATCTTTCCAATAAGACAGACATGGGTTTATTCTAGATTCTTCTACTTGTTACCCTGCCAGTCTTAATTCTTCACAAGGTAACAGCCTACCCGTTTTTCAAGTTTGTCATGTAGCGTGATCATTAAACTGTAGCTATTTACTCTCATCATAGCTTTTTTCTTTTGTCATACTAAAATATATTTTCCTATCACTTGGAAAACTGTGAATACTCCAGATGGGATCTTATCTATCTGTCTATCTCTCTCTTTCTCTCTAATATGCACACATAATTCCTTTTCCTAAGAAACAGGAAATATACTTGATCCCTTCCTTAGATTTTCTTATTTATTTGTTAAAATGTGGTGAGGTCCTTATTATTATTCCTATGTAACAGATCAAAAACTAGAAGGTTAATGGACTGTATTTACATACAGGTGCTTAGATTTTTTTTGGCATGCCCATTTATTCAACGGAATTGGGTAACTATCATTATATGCACCATACAGGAATGTCAATTTTTTAAAAAGCAAAACACTGAGGATATTTCAAGATACTATGGTCTTAGTTAAATCTTTGATTCAGAAGGCACTTCAGTATCTTTCAGTGAAAGTTGTTAACACCATCACTATACAGTATTGAAAAAATATTTGTACCATATGCAAATAATTTCCAGTACCATGCAAAAAAACTTTAGTTTTCTTCTTCTATACGTTTAAAATAAAATGAGAATTATTGCGATTTTTACAAATATTGTTTATTTTAATGAGGCTGGTACAGACAGTGTCCATTGAAAACCCATGTCCCAGGCCAAAAAAGTACAAACAAAATCAAAAGGAGCAGTGTTCTGTTGTATACACTTCTTCACGAACAACTTTATTAACTTCTAATGAAAATTAGAACCTTTCTGGGTTCTTCTGACAAGATTTTCTTTTAATCTTAAAACACTTTCTCTTCCGTGAAGCCATCTTTGGAGTTAAGCATCATCATGTCTGCCAGCTTGATTCCAATCCTGATGTATTCCTCTTCTTTTGGTCCAAACCCTCAGACTTTAAAAAGCAGCTTCAAGTTAAGGAAAGGTCATTTTCCCCACAGTTCAGTTCTATGAAAAACTTTATCTACCACTGAAAGTCATAGTCCAGGACTGAAGCAATCACATGCTAGAACTTCAGGGCCAATTGGAAAGCCTTTGTGAACACTCGCACTGGTCGATGTTACCTAAAATTGCAGTCCTGAAAAGTAGTCTTTCTGTTCACATTTTTTAAAAGGAGGGGGCAATGTGAAGGGAGCTGAGGTTTGATCACCAAAAATCAGCACAATGAAAACAAAGATTTATAATGAGCACTAGAATTCAAATTACCAGATGTTTTAAAGAGATGTGAGTGCCAGTATTCAGTTCCATTTTGAACACCACATTACAAAAGAACTATTTTTAAAAATAAAAAAGGATTGAGGCAAAAGAAAAGGAAAATAAAAAGAATATCTAAACTGCTGAATGACCCTCCGTTTGTTCCTGATAAACTTCAATCACCTCTTCTTCCTCCGTTCCCAGTTCTCTTGGAGTATGATTATCAGTAATTCTCTGACTTCCAAAGAGAAATCCGAGTGAATTCATTGGAACTCCCTGTCTTTGACAGTACGATTCTGTGAGTTTCTTGAAATGTGTCGTCATTTTCACTTTGATGTGAATCTCATTGCTATCCTGCCCATTGACTTTGAGTTCAGTGTATTCTCCCTCCTTCTTATCCCCCAAGTCCTCGGTTGAAGGTTTTGCCTCCTGATCAGACATGGTGACAGTGGCTTTACCTGGAGGTCTCTGCACAGCCGCGGACTCGGGCAGACAGAACCTCGCTCTGGGGTTTACAAATCTGTCTCCTTTCCTTACAGCACAACACCACAGCTGCCCAGGTGCCTAGATTTTAACCAGAGACATTGAGAAAATGCTCTTAAAAAACAACCCTGTTTGAATAGTGGTATTAGGGACTCCCATTGGTAGGCTGAATTTTGTAGCCTGCATGGCCGTGGGATTGACTACGTGGTACGACTGACTATTCACTGAATCTGTCTCCGTGTCGAATTTATTTCATTGTAACAGAACTGCAGTTTCCGGGGATATTCCAGTCCAGTTACTGGATTAGATAGTTCGGTCCAGAGAGGTGAAAGGGATTGCATGGGACACTGAGGTAGAGGGGGGGCACAAAGACCCTGTCCCCAGTTAATGACATTCAAACGAGACTAGCAGCCTGGGCCTTGGATGTTGGTGAGATTCCTGGTGAAACAACGTTGCACAATTATGGAGTAGCTCTGCTTGAAATCAAGATCTCAGCGTCGAACACGTTCCTGGGTTCTGCCATATCATTTATCACCGTTCTTTTGTTTGTCTTTGTTGTCAATATTAACATAAATTATTTACCATAATGTTCATTTTCCTTCCTAGCCCCCTTTCTCACAATTTAACTGAGAGGAAGGAAGTCTTTCTTACATCCTGACTTCTTGGGAATAAAGAGCTGTTTTTCAGTGGGAGGCAGGTCAACTGGAACTGCCTATTCTCTGTTGGATAAAAATGACTTTTCTTGCCTTTCACACATTGCCTCAGTTATCACGGAACTTGCTGTTTCTCTAGAGTTGGTCCTCAATCAGAACAAGAGAAGTAGAATGTAGAGAAGCAGGCAGATAGGGTAAAAGTAAACCAGGGAGACAGTGCCTCAAAACACTGTCAGCTTTAACCTAAAAAAGATTTAAAGCATGCAGGATCTAAGTTGCATGGGAGAAAGAGCTGCTTTCTAAGATCCATTCTCTCCCTCTGCTTTAGTACCAGCCTCTGTATGGATAACAGTCTTCCTGGATTCCAAGTTCAGACGATGAGAATCTGAAAGGATGCCACATGAGAAGGTGACTTAATGAACACTTCATTCGCTAGAATTTTTCCCTCCACCCCATCCTGTTGCCTTTTTTTCTTCTGGCCTACAATATGGAAGCAATGGTGAGACTCCAGCACTCTGAGTGGACGGGATGGGAGCTGTAAGCTTGGTGGTGAAGCAGAATGAAGGATCTCTTTGGTCTCAGGTGACTCTGCTACTACATGAAGCTTTCAGGCTTCCTACACCTGGACTTCAGCTATAGGAGAAAGATATACATACACCACGAGTGATTTAAATCACTGGAATTTTAGGGTTTCTATTACATGAAGCTGGTATCCTTCCTAAAAAATGAAAGGGTAGGGAAGAGTTGGCGATGGTGAGAGAGAGAAAAGAATCCCCAAAGACGCCAGGCTCTTGGCCTTCAGTAGACTGGGGTGATGGGTGACCCCCACGGGCAAGGCATCCACAGAGATCAGAAGTGGAGAGAGTGAACATGGTTTGGAAATTTGAAGGTGGGAGGAGCTATACAACACGTCCTCTTGCAAGTCCCACAGATAGCTTGGCTATCGACGTAGGTGTTGTGAGGAGACATTAGGGAAGGAGACACAGAGTAGGTCATAACTAGTTGGTGTGTGACATGTAAAGCCGATGAGGTGGTTGACTTACTCAGGAAAACCAAGGGGGCGCTGCTGGCTGGGACAGCTGAAGGCAGTGCCCAGCCATGTACGCACATGGCCAGGGTTTCAGCAGTCAATGGAGCATCCTGTGTCTGGTCGTCTGTTAATATGGCAAACAAAAATGCTAGGTCCACTCTCCATTTCCAACGAAGCTAAAGAACTGAGGGCTGTCAGGCAGAGTGCTAAGTAACTTGAACTAACTAGCATTGCCCAGTCAGTCGCTCCAATTCCGGGTTATCTGAAAGAGGTGTCATAATCACAGGAGTAAAAGTAACTTCCGAAGAGTTGTGAAGTCCTGGCATAGGCAGATGGATTTCAAGAAATCATTAAGTAGTGGACAGCTGTAGGTCTCCCGCCAGACACTCACTCACTTTCCTGACTGCAAGACCTGCTGTCCGTTCTGCTGTGCTTGCTAGCCACACCTCGCCCACTGAGTTCCAGACAATCCGCTGTGGACTTGTTGAGTTTTTGTGTTTTATTTCCTAAGCTTTCTCTCCTCGAAGCAATCACCCCGCTATCCCTGCGTGGCACTAACTCAGAAACTGCATCATAATTGCTTGTTAATGTCAAATTGGTGGCTGATGGATCTGCCATCTGCAGAGGCCTGCTTTGACTGGCCACTGCTGGGTGTGCTAGACGTACAACCCTCCTGGTTGAGATCAATACTCTATTACAGAAGCAGTGGGCTACCAGACAGACACCACGGGGCCTCACCTCTTTGCCGTTAGGCACACTGGCTCTGTATAAAGCTCAGGTCACAATTGTGAGAGTTGTGGATGAAGGAGCCACTAATGAACCCACCAGAGCCCCACAGCTCCACTGGCTGGTCTGCACACAGCAGTGCGGCCTTTCCCTTGCACATTAAGAGGGCCTGCATGCCGGGGAGACAGGACATACCAGGTACACCTGACCTTCAGTCTGCTGTCACCTGAACGTCAGCCTCAAACTTGGAAATCAGAAAAGAGCTAGAAAGCAAACAAAAGAGGATTCACAAACACCGTGTGATTTTTCTGTCCACCTGCCTGTCTCTCTTCCTCCCCTCTCCCCTCCCCCACCTCTCTCTCTCTCTCTCTCTCTCTCTCTCTCTCTCTCTCTCTCTCTCTCTCTCTCTCCCCCTCAATTTTCCTCCTGGCAGGTAAAGCGGAACAGAGGGCAGAAAAACACCAATTATAATCATGCTATTAACCTGTAACCTATATTTATAGAACACTTACCATATGCCAGGAAGCCTGCTAAATTATTTCGTTCATTTCCTTGTCTAATTCTCACACCAACACTGTAAGTTGGGGCTGGATTTTCCTGATGAGAAAATTCAGGCTCAGAGATGCTTCCTGACATGTCCAACATGGAGGAAGGGGAGGAGCTTGGATCTGAGCTGACACCTGCCACTTGCAAAGCCTCTGTTCTTTATGCACACTTCTGTCTCCCAAATCATGTGTGTAAAGGCTTTCAGGTCACCCTACTCAGGCAGGGGAAGGCGGTGGGTATGCAATGTTGTCAAGGCCTTGTATGGTGTCCAGCAACCCATTTGCATTCTATTTTCCAAAACTGTAGGTAGAAATTGTATTAAATTAACCTCACCAATACCACTTGAAGACGTGCATGGATGCCCAATCACTAGGCAGTCACAAGGAGAGGACAGTCCCACCATCCCAGAAATATTTCCATGTTCCATGCTACTCAGCTTCCACTATAAGCAAATATTGTGGTTTCCACCACCAGAGATTAGCTTCCTTGGCTGAACTTTATGTAAGTTGAATCATATATGTATTCTTCATGTTTAACTTCCTCTCTTTTTTTTGAGATTCATCCAAGTTGTAGCATATATCAGTAATATTGTAATATGCATCACTTTGTTTCATTTTGCTGAACAGTATTCTTTGTATGAATATATTACAAACATTTTTTTTGCTGGTCCTAGGTTTTGAACTCAGAGCCTGGGTGCTATCCCTGAGGCTCTTTGTGCTCAAGGCTAGCACTCTACCACTTGAGCTACAGGGCCACTTTTGGCCTTTTCTGAGTAGCTTAGTGGAGATAAGAGTCTCACGGAGGCACAGAATTCCATTGTGTATATATACCACATTTTCTTGATCCATTCATCTACTGAGGGGCATCTGGGTTGGTCCCATATCTTAGCTATGGTAAATAATGCTGCAATAAACATAGTTGTGCTGGTAGCTTTAGTGTGGTCTTGTTTGTGATCATTTGGGTAAATGCCCAAAAGTGGGATTGCTGGGTCATAGGGGAGCTCTATGTGGAGTCTTTTGAGGAACCTCCATACTGCTTTCCAAAGTGGTTGAACAAGTTTACACTCCCACCAACAATGCAGTAAGGTTCCCTTCTGTTCACATCCCTTCCAGTATCTGTTGTTATTAGAGTTCTTGATTATAGCCATTCTAACTGGGATGAGGTGGTATCTCAATGTTGTTTTGATTTGCATTTCTTTTATGGCTAGGGAGGTTGAGCATTTCTTCATGTGTCTATTAGCCATCCTTCTTTCCTCTTCAGAGAAGTTTCTCTCTAAGTCTTTAGCCAACTTATTTATGGGGCAGTTGTTTCTTTGAAGATTTGTTTTTTGGGGATTTAATTTTTTAAGTTCCAGGTATATTTTAGATATGAGACTCTTGTCTGTTGTACAGCTAGTGAAGATCTCCTCCCAGTCCATGGGCTTTCTATTGATCTTGCTAGCTATGTCCTTTGCCATGCAGAAGCTCTGCAATTTCATGCAATCCCATTTGTCCAACCTTTCTTTGATTGCTTGTGTTTCTAGGTCTCTATTAAGAAAATTTCAGCCTGTGCCAAGGAGACAAATAGTTTAACTAGGGATACAGGTGGACCCATTGCAACAATGAGATGTACAAGTCGTTATGTCGAAAACCGAACTTAACTTTGGTGGGGGGGTGGGGAGGGAGGACCGGGTGGGGAGAGGGAAGGAGTATGGGAAGGGATGGGAAGGGGAAACAATGAGGAGGCAACAATGCTTGATAAGAAATATGCTTGTTATCTTGCCCATGTAATTGTAACTCCTCTGTACGGTATTCTCACAACTAAAAAAAAAAGTCTCATGGACTTTCCTGCCTTTGTAGGCTTTGAACCGCAATCCTCAGATCTCAGTCTCCTGAGAGTAGCTAGGATTATGGGCATGAGCTAGTTAACAAACTTTCTATGTTGTCCCATCAATAAACATTTCAATTGTTTCTCCACTAGATTGTAAATTCTCATCTAGCAGAATAAGAATTTACCTAATACTAGGTTTTCTCCAACATAAACTCTAATACATCTCACCTCCTCTTTCTACCCAGTTGCAGAGCATTTTGAATGTGTCTTGAGATAACATAGGCTTGGGCTTCCA